GCCTTTATGCGGTCTTGTCTTTTAAGAGGAAGTCTATTAATTGCCACCAGGTTCCCTTATGCTCAAAAGTTAGAACCAAAACCGATTAATTCTGCTCCCAAATATGGGGGTTTCTAACCCCCTATTATTGCAAAGGGCTTAGATTCATTTGTGTTTATTCATGGTTGCCACGTGTTGGAGCATATCTTTACTATCTTTTGGGATGGGGGTGGAAGGTGTATTACAAATTAATACTCTAACGTCTTACTAATTATAATCCCCAGTAATTAAAAAAAACAACAAAATATCAAATATTGTATATTAGGTGTTGTTATTCCATAAATGCTCATTAGGCTAAACCACTACCCACAGGGAAACCCTTTGTTTCACAACAAATTGTAATGTTTGAATTTAAACAAAACCTGGTTAGAAATGCCTTTTCCAGGTTTTCAGAATACACAGTAACTCTTTAAAAAAAAATAGAACATAAGAAAGCCTGGTTAAAAATTGAGTCTTTGAAGACGGGGGAAAATGATTCTTTTTCCCCAGTATTTTTTATCAGTGATTGCAATGATTATAAATGTTTTACAAAGTTAAGAAAATATAAAAACGATCAGGTTGATTAGTACAAAATTTTGCCTGAAAATAAATGGCTACAGTTCACATAATAAACTATCTAGAAGATATAAAGAATAGAACCTAAGATTTTTTTTAAGAGAAATTCTGTTATGTAAATTATCTATGTCCTTTTGCAAATACATTATGCAATGCCTGGGGTGAAAAGAAAAGGCTCCAAGGGAAAAAAATGTATAGATCATGTTAGTAGAAGTGACAACACCTAAATATCTATGCTACTATAATGTCAGAAAAATGAATGGGATATTTCAGTAAGACCTAAAATAGAAGCTTGCTACTTAAAATAGTAAATGTAAATACTTCCTTTGTTTTAAAAACAGTATGTACTTATTCGTATCACTCTCAGGTATTTGATCATCAGTTCAGTGTTTGCAAACAGTTTGTTTTCTTTTATACTCCTACACTACATTTAAACATGCATGTAAGAAACTATAGATTAAAAAAACATTGCATTTTAGAGGACAATCTGAATAATCACACAGACATGGACCAACATTTATTACAAACAGGAAAAGAGCAGATCTATAAGAAAAGAGTACAGATTTTTTTAAAAAGAAGATTGCAAGCTGAAGTATAGAAAAGAGGTTGTGATCTGTATAATTTTTTCCTACATTTAAAAATCACATTGCTCAACATGTACAAAACATTATAATACAGTAGTTTAAACTGCTACTTAGAGGAATTAAAACAGTATAGACAGTGGAGAAGTTTATTTCAATTTAGGTCACCCATGATCCATCCTGAGTTCACTTCGATTTTCCAAGAAGAAAGGTATTTTTAAAGGTCATTTTTCCCAAGTAGAAAGGTTATTTTGAAAAACTGAAGTATGTACGTCACATCCCATTATAAGAAAAGGATTCACATTAAAATATTTTTAATAAAAGGCAATCAATTATCTATATACTTTTATTAAACAATTACAGTTTTCACAGACAGCAAGACACAATGTTGCTATTACCAGCAGTATTACTTTCTTCATTTCTCCTTCAGCTAACAATTAAAAAATCATCCTAAGAAAATTTCTTATGAATGTGGCTCAATTAAAAACAAATTACTGCTAACACCAAGATATTGTGGCTTACATGCTGTCACACTGATTACATAGCTACATGAAGAGCTACAGGAACCAGAAGGGGGAAAACCAACTTAAAAATTAGAAAAACTATAAATTTTTTCAATTCACTAATACTTAGTGACCATTCTAAAAGGGGGTTCATTATGAGCACTTAGGCTCTAAATGGATATCACTCTTGTGTTTAAAAACTCTCATTTTTAAACTCTAAAATATACTGCAGTACAGATTTAAGACATCTGTCAACTAGAGATGTATTAAGATGTTTCCTTTGCTATTTTCATACCTTAACAATTTAGACTTTATACTTATAACTATATCACTTAAGAATAGCCATATTGTTCACTTCTATGATATGGCTAGACCACATAAAGTAGCATTTTGGAATTCAAGAGGAAAGCAATTCCATGAACTGGAGGCAAAATATGATCTCCTATATAATATATACAACACTAAAATAATTTGGCCTAATTTTGAAATTAGGTATGTATTATATATAGGTGTATTAAGTATACAGATGGTGGTCCTACATGTCCTTTCATAGAACAAGAGAATTTTACCTTCAATAAGCAAAAAAATAAAAAAGTAGGTAATGAATTAAGGATGACATTTTAAAGTTCAAATTTTACAAAAGTATCTAAGTATTGCTAAATGCTCACCGATATGAGAAGAGATATACTGGCAAATATTAAAAATACCAGATAGTGTTACTAACTTCTTTACTAAAAATTATTTATAATGTGCTCCCATTTCCAATTGATGTTCCAAGTTCAAAAGCAACCCTCCAACTCCCCAAATCCCTAAAACACCACTCCTCCTTGCCACTTTGTTCCTAAGTAGGATTTATAAGAAGTTTCTCTGGGGAAGAAAATTATCTCATTTTAAAAGATGTATGTATTTTCTATTAGAAAAGAACTAAATGTATTTGGACTCGCACACACTGGTTTAACTGAACATAAATAAAAGAAACTTTACAATTTACCCACCATGAAGTACTGAGTTACAACAAATGTATTAACAAAACTTTATTTTCTTGAAAGTGCATACAGGATGTTACGTAAACACTGTTAGTAGTACCTTTAATGTGAAGACAGTCTTATTATTACTTCAGATTTTAATGTATCCTAAATAGGTTATGTGTCTTCTCCAAAAATATTTAAGGCTACATTGAGTGATACGGCCAAAGAAAACTTTAGCCCCTTACAGACTAAGCAAAGTACATATGTGAAAATAAAAAAGAACAAATTAGGGAAGAGAAAAACATTGCTCAGGATATGCATTTTTAAAATTTGCATTCAATGTTAACATCTTAATTCCTAAACCAGAAATAAAAATCTTATGAAATACACATATATATTATTTACCTCTTTTTTTTTTAAATCAAAAGATGTTTTACACATACATTCATATTTGTGTGTGCAGGTATGTGAAACTGCAAACATTACCAACTAAATAAATGTCAGGCAACTGCTAACAGCTCTGAAATAGTACGTGAAATGAGCCAGTTATTTAGACAACTTCAGTCCTTTGGAATAACATCTGGTCTGTCTTAGAATTCAGTTTTTATTTTTAGTTAGGAAGTGGAAGAAATAGACTCACTGTGTTTTATGCTTACAGAATGAATATCTAACAGCTAATTTCAGTTTAAATCATGCTATAATAAAATGAATGAATGATAACAGAATATCTGAGAAATTTCTAAAACTCAGAACACACTATTTCATTATACAAAAATTATCATGTACCACTTATGTTAATTTCTGATGAGTTTGCAGAATATCTGCATATAAGCTAATATGTAAAGTCAAACTGGAATGAAGACCAAGTATAGGTAGATGATCCTGGCTTCAGCATACTTCAGACAGTTTTATTCACTCACCTGGTGAATTTCATGCCAGTATACTCTGATGATTAGATATACTAAGGAAGGAAATGGTCCAAAAGGATAAGTGATAAAACCTTAAGGATATGGTCTTGGTCCAAAATCACAACCAGACTCCACATAAGATACAATCTTTCTCACACATACAAACACACAAACACACACACCACATATACAACCACACAGAAAAACCTCAACACACACACAATGTTCCTGCTATTGTCCAGTAATTCCCCCACTCCCAACATAAGACAATATAAACTCTAACACAAGTACAGTGAGTACACTGTAGCCTCAATTTAAATCCGCGGTTAGTTAGGTCCATTCTGAGGGACACATCACAGGTGACACTGTGTTGTGTTGAAGTCTGTTTAGTACTGCTGACTAAAGCCCTTTGATAGGTCCAAAACAGACACACATATGATCAAATTTCAGTTACTGTGAAAATGTTATGACGAGGCTGCAGTGTACTTGATTTTGTTGAGAATTTATATTATAAAATATTCAAATAAGACTACCTCATAAGTATAAATAAGTTATAAAAATAAATGAATATCAATTTTCAGCTAAATGTGGATTATTAACTTCCTATCTCACCCCATCTCATTAATATATCACCTGAAAAATTATTATTTGGTGCCAACTGTTATCAATACATTAACATTTTATTATCATCTTGATTGCTAATTCTGATCTTCAAAAGTGAACATTTCCCTTCTAATCATAAACAAGAATGGGGCCTTTACTCTTTAAAATAAAATGTCTGGCTTCAAATTTCAAGACAGTTATAAAGAAAAAAAACAAAATAAAACAAAAAAACCAATCAAAGTATCATTGGGTAAATTATGATTACATAGGTTTGAGTTCATATTAACTTATTATTGTATAATGTAAACTTTATCCTACAGAAAAACTTTAAAAATTACTGAAGTGCTTACATTTATTGACAAACCATGCATTTTCACAAAATTAAAATCCAAAATAATTTTTTACCTAAAGGTTTCATTTCACCAGAGACACTCAAAACACCCTATGAAACTAAGTTAACATTTCTGTATTTCCTTATAATACCAGATTCATTTGTAAATAGGAATAAAAAGAAAAATGAGTTCTAAATAAATGACACAGGAGGCAATAAATTGACACATGACAAGTAAATAAAAGGCTAAAGCACTCCAATACCATTGAAACTGTTTTAATGTTGTTGCAACTCCAAAATGCAACAATCATCAGCTTGTAAAGACCCAAATTTCAAAAATTCATTTTAATTACTCCTTCATACCTATTTTACAAAATAAAGGCAAAAGACATTTTAAATCCTCCTTGTCCTTACTTGTGCTATCTATGTTCCTAATTTGTTTTCTATCACTACAGTGTATGTTGCAATTCCCATCAAATGCTATATAAGAAAAAATAAAATAAAATATTAACCTCTGCTTCAATGTACAGTTTCCAGAATCTGCCAGAACTGGGGAACTGGGCAACAAGGCGTTCATAAGTCTTCCGTGCTTTGTCTATAGGTTGATTCTAAAATTGAAAACCAATAAACAGCATTTACAATGTTAGGATTATGAAAATATTATTTACTGCAGAACCAAGTAGTGTGATTGGACCCATAGAGAAGGAAATGTAATCCTATATCACTAAACCTGTGCCTCTCGAATGAGAATGCTCCAAGCGTCAAGGTCATAAGGATTCTCTTCTAATTTCTTTTCGGCTTTCTTCACCTTCTCTGGGACATACTCAGCTGCCTAGGGGGAAGAAAAATAATGAACTCAAGTTACTGTTTTAAAAATCTCAGGACTAATTTAACTCAAGTACAATATATTAGTCCCCAGATGCAGTATCACAATAAGCATGAAAACGTCCTCTTATAAAAGAAGTCTTCATTTTCTGTAATCTAAATCACTTGCATAATAACAAATTCAAATGGACACATACCTAAAAATTAAAACATTTTAAATTTAAATAAACCCATCTCTTTTTTAATGAAATAAAACAGAGCAGCAGTTCTACAGCTTTTTAGACTCAGACCCCTTTTATACTCTAAAAAGTGAGTACATCAAAGCGTTTTCGTTTATGTAGGTTATTTCAGTATTTACCATGTTAGAAATTAAAACTGAGACAAGGTTAGATATTTATTCACATACAAATAATAATAAAAGTATTCATATGTTAACATAAATAAAATTTAATGAGAAATAACTTTTAAAATTTAGATGATTATCCTTGAGATATATATTTGCAAATCTGTGTATAATAAATACAGTAGGCTTTAAAATGCAGCTGAAAAAAAATAAAATGCAACTGGATTTTCATATATGCTTTTGAACTCAACCTACTGCAATATCAAATCATGTAAAAATTCCACTGTACACTCATGAGAATTAAAAGTGAAATAGGCAAATAATGTCTTAAATCTATTATGAAACAGTATGAACTCACAGATCAAAGTCTTAGAAACCCACAAGGTCCCTGGACCAACAACACTAAAAAACATTGCTATAGAGAATTCATCCTGAGTCACAATGAAAAAGCATGAAATGACATGAAAACTTTATTTTGATGTAAAAGTTTTAAAAGCATGATTTACAAACTGTATATATAGCAAACTGTATATGAAATGGTACTTACAAACTGTATACAAAAACTATAAAAGAAATCTACAATGAAAGAGACTGAAAAGACTGTAAAATAGTTAGTAGTCATGTCTGGGTGATGTGTGGTAGATGGACAGCTGACTTTCCCCCCTTTCTCAGTATTTTCTAAACTCTTTAATAAAAGGTGGTTTTATTTTTATTATAGAAATACAATCTTAAAGTCAATACCTAAAAAAAGTAGCCAGGACCTGTGGCGTAAATACAACCATTACTTTTCAAATTGTTCTTCACAATATTATTTTGTACCACAAAAAGAAACTGATGTGCAATAAGCCAGATAAATTTGCATGAAGTTTTGTTTTGCCTTTGTGGGAGGACTTCCTGAAATCTTAATATAGCAATGCTGTGCTGCACTCAGTTGTGTCCAGCTCTTTGCGAACCCACGGACTATAGCCTGCAAAGGACCTCTGACCATGGGGATTCTCTAGGCAAGAATACTGGAGTGGGTTGCCATGCCCTCCTCCAGGGCATCTTCCCAACCCAGGGATGGAACCCAGGTCTCTCACACTGCAAGTGGATTCTTTTACCATCTTAGCCACCAAGGAAGCCCAACATAGCAATAAATATTAGTAATATTCAAGAGAGGAAAGAGAGGGAAGCACTGCCTCTAACATCTCTTCCCCCCTCACCTTCCTCAGTAGCAATTAATATATTACCAGGCAATTCTGTTGAAATACCAGTTGGGAAAAAGACTTTAAGTCATGTGTTTAGGTGGGAAAAACTACCTGGAAGAAGTATACTTTCCTTTGGAATAAATCAGTTTCCACCACTGATAAGTACACATTTAGAAAGAAAAACATGTTTTAAAAGACTAATGTGATTTTCTATCAAAATTATGATGTCCTACTAACACACAAGAGCTTTCAGTAGCTTGCTCAAGAAACTAAAACTGGAAAAGTTTAATAAAGGAAAACCACTGGCCCCACTCATATACTAAACATGATACAGAATAAGTTAGTTCTGCAATGGTGATAAAACAATCACCGGATCAGGATGGTTCAGAAAGAAGATACACGGAAAATTAGCAAATAAAGGTGATATTTGAAATCAGAATGTTGGGTTATTCAATTTATGGTGCTAGAATAACTATCTTAGAACTGCAAAGTCAATAAAAGCTGAATCCCAATTTTAACCATTCTATCAAACTAATTTCAGATAAATCAAAAACATTAAAAACAAAAAGACAATAAAGAACCATCAGAAAATGTACTGAAATTTACCTTTGTGTGGGAACGCTCTTTAAAAGCCTTTGAAAAGAGTAAACTTAATTCGTAAAGTTTATATTTGTGCATGGGGAAAGTATCACAATGAAAGTGAAAGGATGAACTTGCAAAAATATCCCCAACACATATGGCAAAGTATTAAATTTATTAATATAACATCCAGTCACTAAAACATCAGAAACTCAAGAAGAAAATGGGCAAAGTATTCAAACACTCATAGAAAAAGAACAATGAACTTTAAACACTTGAAAACAATACAAATATAAGCCATAAAATAAGAGATCAAAGGTGTTTTATAATTAACACTGCACTGGCAAAGATACTAATCTCAAATCAAATCAGTCCATCCTAAAGGAAATCAGTCCTGAATATTAATTGGAAGGACTGATGCTGAAGCTGAACCTCCAATACTTTGGCCACCTGATGTGAAGAACTGACTCATTGGAAAAGACCCTGATGCTGGGAATGACTAAAGGCAGGAGAAGAAAGGGACAACAGAATAAGGTGGTTGGATGGCATCACTGACTTGATGGACATGAGTCTGAGCAAGCTCTAGGAGTTGGTAACGGACAGGGAAGCCTGGCGCGCTGCAGTCCATGGGGTCACAAAGAGTCAGACCCAACTAAGGAACTCAACTGACTGACTGAACTGGTCAAGATATGCAGAAACAGACATCCTCAAACTGTTGGCAAGAGAAAGCAGTAATACTGACCAAAATGTACCACAAATATCTGACCCTGCATTCCAGTTCTGGACACTTATCCTACTCTGTATGTGTACAAAGATGTGTACAGAAGAATACTCAGCTATGTGGCTGTCTGTTGCTGTGCAAGACTAGGAATAATCTAAATAATCATGTAAAAAAAAAACTTGTTAAATAAATTATGGAATTTGTAACCACCAAAAAGAACAAACAAGGCAGGTCTATAAACAGCAACATGGGACATAACAGCCAGTTTAAAAAAAAGTAGAGGTGCCTGGGGAGACACACACATACACAGCACATACAAATGTACTTTACACACCATATACATACTCTTTTGCTGTTTGAAATTTTACTGTTCACCTGAAAAATATTCCTCTGTGCCGAGTATGTGCATTGTTTAAGGGGCACCTGGGATACAACAAAGACTTTCAGTTTACTTCTTGACAAAACAAATTTTTAAAATATTTTAAAATAAATGAGGATTTGTAAGATATGAATCATAAAATGTTAATGATAAAATAAGAAGTAAATATGATACAGAACTTTACATTATGATCTAAAAACCAGCTAAGCTAATCAATGCTACTAATAACAATTAGTATTTCAAAACAGTCTGATGGGAGGCCAAATCATTCATATTCATGTCTTCAAAATTAAACCTACCAAATTAGATAATGTATACTATACTTATACGCAGAGTACATCATGTGAAATGCCTGGATGATGAATCACAAGCTGGAATCAAGACTGCCAAGAGAAATATCAACAACCTCACATATGCAGATGATACAACTCTAACGGCAGAATATGAAGAGGAACTAGAGCCTCTTGATGACGGTGAAAGCAGAGAATGAAAAAGCTGGTTTAAAACTCAACATTCAAAAAACTAAGATCATGGCATCCAGTCCCATCACTTCATGGCAAATTCAAGGGGAAAAGTGGAAGCGGTGGCAGATTTTATATTTTTGCGCTCCAAAATCACTGCTGACAGTGACTGCAGCCATGAAATTAAAAGGCACCTGTTCCTTGGAAGAAAAGCTATGACAAACTAGACAGCATATTAAAAAGCAGAGACATCACTTTGTCAACAAAGGTCCACATAGTTAAAGCTATGGTTTTTCCAGTAGTCATGTACAGATATGAGATTGGACCATAAAGGCTGAGTGCCAAGGAATTGATGCTTTTGAACTATGGTGTTGGAGAAGACTCTTGAGAGTCCCTTGGACTGCAAGGAGATCCAACCAGTCCATCCTAAAGGAGATCAGTCCTGGGTGTTAATTGGAAGGACTGATGCTGAAGCTGAAACTCCAATACTTTGGCCACCTGATGCGAAGAGCTGACTCATTTGAAAAGACCCTGATGCTGGGAAAGACTGAAGGCAAACAGAGAAGAGGGCAGCAAATGAGATGGTTGAATGTGAGCAAACTCAGGGAGATAGTGAATGACAGGAAAGTCTGGCGTGCTGCAGTTCATGGGGTTGCAAAAAGTTGGACACAACTTAGTGACTGAACAACAACACATACCATAATATGCAGAACAGAGAAACTCAGAAGATGGCATCTAGTATCTGACCAGCGTAACTGCAGCAAGGATAAATGTCTCCTTATGAAATAAAATAATCCATTCATTTAGTGATTCTCAACCCTGGCAGCACATCAGAATCATCTTGGGTAAAGAGCATTTAAAAAGATACTTAAGTCTCACTCTAGATCATTTGAAATAAAATCTCTAGGAATGAGCCTGGACCATCACTATTTTTTTAAAAACTCTTCAGGTCCAATTCAGGAAACATAAGGGACACAGGTTTGATCCCTGGGTTGGCAAGATTCCCTGGAGAAGGGAACAGCAGCCCACTCCAGTATTCTTGCCTGGAGAATCCCATGGACAGATGGAGCCTGGCGAGCTACAGCCCACAGAGTTTCAAAGAGCCAGGCATGGCAGCACCAAGTGGCACACAGCACCAGTTCCAGTGGGCAGCCTGAGTTGAAAATCAGGGCTCTGGCTCAGTGGTAAAGAATCCACCTGCCAATGCAGGAGACAGGCAACCCACTCCGGTATTCTTGCCTGGTAAATCCCTGGGACAGAGAGACTGGTGCGCTACAGTCCATGGGGTCACAAGAGTCAAACACGATTTAGCAAATGAACAACAACAAGCAGCTCCA